CTCAAGCCCTTCTGGTTGTTACATACGTTCGGAAAAACCTAATTTATTCTCCACCCCAAGTGGCTTACCAACAGAAGAAAATGGCTTGACTCGATGGAAAATCTTAGAATTTTAAAACACCTTTATGTATGACTTACGAGCAATTCATAAGCCTAGTTTCTAACCGATCAGCCGGTTAGAAGCTGTCTAAAAGTAGACGGAAGTAGACAGAAGAATTGTTGAATAACTTACAATTTGCTTGTGTTTATTAGATGTAGCAAGACGCGGCACCTATAGCCAAAATATCAGAATTGTCGCAGAGACAAGAAAAGACTGTTATACGATTCACTTGCGATTTAAGCACAATTTTCTCATTTATTTAAATCTGATTTAAATTGTTAAGTAATAAAAGCGATTGAAACTGATTGGAATGGAGACGAGAGAGAAAAACGAAAACTCGTTCTCGCCAACCCAATATATTCCCATTGAGAATTCGTAAACGATTATTTTGCATACTCGTCAAGTGGTGAGCAAGCAATGAATGAATTGAAAGATCTCTCAATGCATCGATATTAACTATAGTCAAGAAATGATATTCATTGTACTTATATATTTATATATTAAAATTTGTATGTTTATAAAAAGTCAATTTGACACTGTAGTAACGTAATAAAACAACTCGTCTTTCTTATGTGTTTATTTACCCGATTATTTCAGTAATGTGAAGATTAAGATTACAATCTATTCGATTTTCGAATACTAGATATTTTTATGAAAAATCCGGTTTGTTAGTGAACCGGCTTTGAAAACGCAAAACACTATTACAAGCTTAATGACAAATTGCTCAGGTGCACATATAAAGCGCGTTGGTAAAAGCGGTATTGCAACGAAAATTTTCATCAACAATATGGCAAACATTATGTTCGTTATACGATCGTTTCAGCGCAACTCAGTTTGTTTGTTTGTTTGCTTATTTATATGCGTGTATACAAGTAAAAGAAAATTTTAAAAAACATGCAAAATTAAATGATTGATTGCCATATCATATTTATCACATCACCAAGGAATTTAAGTAAGCTTAACAAAAGCCACACTTTTCACATCTTTAAATACATAATAGCAAGTAAATTAAGATTGGATGGGGGAGGGCAGGCAAATTCTTTTTAGTGTTGATAGTACCTAATTTATAATGAATAAAATATCAACTGCTTTCACAGTAGCGGTATAGTGGTTTGGTAGCTGTTTTAACGTTATGATGCTTGATAATAAATAGTTGGTAAAGGCCAACTATAGGCAATAGTGCAGTAATAACGTTTTAAAAACGAGTAACTAACACTTAAATAAAATTTAAAAGCAAAACACGTCAGACAACAATTTACAACATTTACAATAACAATAACGAAGATGTAAAACACTTTACCTATTCAATAATTTTATTACAATTTCTCTTGATTTTATCTACAATGGGAGAAAAGCGTATATTGGAAGTACTAAAGCACTATAGCAATTAGTTTACAGGTGTTTCTTATAGATTATTTTCCATATTCATCACTAAAGCATCCGTAAAACCTTTCAAATACGTTTTTTAAGTTTGCTTCAAGTTCGGTTATTATGGACTACCGACCGACCGTCACAAGCGTCACATTCAAAAACTAAATTCCAACTAAATCAAAATGTGGAAAATGTGAATTTAACGAATGCAATAAACATGGAATTAAGTGAGACTGTTGAGAGAACGCGAACAACAGCTATAGATGATTTTGTTAAAATGTTAAATATGTTTGCAACCTCTTCATAGATAGATACCTCAGATCAGATATTTATACTTTTCTTTCTTTTTGAGAATGCCTCTTTTGACTTTTCTGAGAGTAAAATTCACTTTACTCTACATTCTTATGAAAGGTGTTTTTGCCTTTTCTGAGAGTAAAATTTACTTTGCTGTATATTCTTATGAAAGGTGTTTTTCATTTTGCTGAGAGTAAAATTATTTTTTTAGAGTAACGTTTAAAATAAACATTCAAAGTCTCGCTCACGGATAACTCAAATGTAATGGTGAACATTTAAAAACACAACTGACATGGACGAGCACAGAATGGAGATATGCCAGTGTTGCCAAAATTATCTAAGTGCTCATCAACTATAATTCAAAGACTTAACTGAATACGATTTATAAATCGGATGTTTTGAAGACTTTAGAACCGTAAATGAACCATATTTTTGAATTATGCACAATTAGGATCATTTTTTGTATGAAATTATAGTTTTGTTTAGAAGTTTCGAGAGAACGATCATGGTTTTAACTGACGGAGAGGTTTTCTTTCATTGATGCAGTTGAAGTTTAAGCGTATCTGGGATATTTCCTTGAAATCGTCCAGAGATCACAGTTACATACTTAGATAGATGCACAAGCTTGATTTATTCGAACTGGCTATTCTTATATTCATATGTTGCAAACGTTTGATGAAGACAAATTCCATACGAACATAGCAATAATTGGGGGTTTATCGAAAGCCAAATATAATCATCATCATAATCATCTTGCTGTTTTTGTTACTGCGAGGTATTTATAAATAAGCAAATTTTATCTCAACATAGTCTTCAACTTTCTATTACATTTATCATTTTGTACAAAAAAGAGTTAAGTGGACATAAATATGTTTCGATCTTTCTTAAAGTCAACGGGATTATGATCTTCAACTTCCTCCTATTAATTCGGTTCTGCTCCTTTGTTTCAGTTACTCAGCGCTGTAGCGCTACTCTTCCCAGCCGGGGCCAAATAATTTCTATTTACTTGGGTGCACATGCAACTGAAGGCGAAGATATAACTCGTATTTACACGAAGATTTAATAATCAACGAATTTTACCAATTAAGAATGAAATTTGCAGCTGCTTTCTGAGACAAATAAGAATTGCAGAAAGTTTTCCAATAGAAATACGCTGAAAGAAAGATGGCTCGTGTAAAATTTAATATAATAAATTTGTTTTTATCTGCTAAGATACAAATAGTTAGGCGCACCTAATCTGCCAAATGGCACTTGTCTTGAAAATTAGCAAAAGGGCGAATCTGCACACGGAATATGATCAGAATATTTACGCATACAAAAAATACCTTTGCTTACCAAAATGTTCAGGTGCCAAATCCTAGACGTAAAATTAAGTATTTAGGAAATGATTTTGTGCAAAGAAGTACGCAATTAATTTCATTACAAATTAACATATATATGTCATTTTTTTTTGGTAAAGAAATTTCTTTTTCATTGATATTCATCCTTTATACTCGATTTCCTTAAATCCAATTGCTACTTTATTGCTGCCATAAATTGGAAATTGGTTTACACTGATTATTTTGCACACATACACGAAAACACAAAAAGGCATTTGATAATTTTTCACTCAGCGTCTCGAAACTCTAACTTTATTGTTATATTTTAGGTAAGTTTTGCTTAATTCTTGCAAAATTTTTTCTTTTTTTTCTTCTTAATAAACATTAATAAAAACAAAAAAACAAAACAAAAAGTTATTGTATTACATGACGCGCCGCAGCCGCTACATAGTTGAAGAAAAAGTAGTATAAATACTACACGTATATATCGTAAAAATATAAGTGTTGTCATTTTTATCATTTAATAATAAACTATTTTATATTTTTAATCAACTCAGTAAATCAACTATGTGCTGACTCGTATAAGAAGAAATATTTCTACACAATGCTTCTTCCACCCTGTCTTTCCTTATTTCAGTTTCATTCTTTCTCCATTTCTATCGCCGACTGGAAAACTCCACTTCTAGAAGAACATAAAGACCAAATAACCGACTATAAAATACATTCTCGCAAACTCGAAGATGTTTCGCAAATATTTCCTGATATAATCTGAGCGGTAGTTCTGAATATCAAAAAATAGCGGTCGTGGCAGTTTCGAACCGGTAAAATCAGTACGAATGGCTATATGTCAGGGCGCAGAAACAAACGTCTGCACTGTGGCATTTATGCATATAACGTCTTTTTAAAATAAGGCGTTGCATGGGAACTGATCGAAAAGATGGTCCGGTCCCAACAATTCTCAATAACGACCGTGCCCGCGGCCGAGCACGTTAGTGTCCAAAGTCTATCAATACGTCAGGAATTGCGGATGCTGGAAATTATCGGATCGAGAAAATTGCGTTTATATTTGTGTATATATATAGTTTTTTGTGGGCACAGGAAAAATTAAATGTAACAAAGTTGAACAGTCAGGAAATTAATCTCCTATCTTAAAGTTGTCCTACGTTTTTATTTTTCGGCCGTGTTGAAATAAGGTAAGGAATAATAACATTCAGGATAGCTTGATGACTATCGTTGCCTTGGCATCGAGTACAGATGTTAACAGCTGTTAAATTTGCTCTCATAGTTGTCAAATTACGCGAAAGCTGAAAAGGACACGCTTTGCGTTAATTTAATTGTTGCGAAGACAGCAATAAATTGAATAGAAAATGAAATCCAATCAAAAATATTTTACTTACAAAAGCCTGAACCAAAACAAACAATTTTAAAAAATACCTAACAAAAAAAATAAATGAAATATTGAAAATTATTCAAATACCAAACTTCATAAAAAATCTATACTATGTACTCAATACTAATAACTCAAATCCTACTAGCGTTCTTTGACGAATCTTGCAATAAAAAAAATTTAGCAGTAATGGAAGCTAAAATTTGTCTAAACGAGCAAGCTAAACGCACGCGAACACGAAAAAGGGGTAAATTTATTGTTTTAAGAAATAATACATATGTTAACTTCGCGAATTTATAAAATGCACTAAAAACTATCTTATCTCATACCCTTTAATGAGATTTGTTTATTCAAAGGGTGCCGGTTCTCATATCAAGAAGTGCCCAGCTTAGTATTAAAGGAATGTTTTTTACTCTGCGCCAATACAACTGCTAGGCACAATTTATCGATATTGTATAAATCTGAGAGGATGACTTGGCAGCATTGGGGACTGCTGGCAATTTTATGTAAAATTTCGTTTACTCTGAGAGAGGATTCTTTAAAAACTTTTTCAACCAATCAAAAAACGATACGTATTTTTATTGAAGTAGTAGAGAATTTACGAAAATTCGAGAAAATATCATCACCATTTACAAAAGAACACGACATCGTAGACGAACTGGAAAATGGCTAATTGAAAACACGTTAAGAAAAAGAAAGCACGAAAATATTACAACGGCCATGATAGATTATCACCATTTTAATCAAGCAAAGGATTGCAGTAAGAGATAAAGAGAGATCAGACGTTTTTACGCTTCCGCAGCACTAGCAATCAAATACAGACTTCAGAAAATTGATAAAGTTTATTGTGTGAGATTATACGAAAATATAGAAATGTCAACTGTGTTTATCACCGTGCCCAAATTTGTGGCCTTAACGCCGGGAACGGCATCGACGTCATCTACAACACCAGTGAAATGTAGTCTGACCAAAATCATGCCAGCTCCTCCGTTGACAGATGTCTTGCCAACATCGAAAGCATCTACGGGTGAGCCTACGTCTAAAGCTAAAAAGAGACGTCTGGATCACTTATCGTGGGAAGAAAAAATACAAAGAAAGTGAGTTGAAAATAAGCAAGTGTAACCTTGAGAGGCAACATTAATGTCCTTTGTATTGTTTTATTACTGTTTGCAGAAAATTAAAAAATCGCGTTGCAGCGCAGACATCACGAGATCGTAAAAAAGCACGTATGGAGGAAATGGAAAACATAATTAACGCAATGACTGAGAAAAGTGAAATTTTAGAAAATAAATGCCAGAGCTTACAAACTATTAACGACTCATTGCTGGAAAAAAATGAAAAACTCGATGCAGAAGTTGAGCAATTAAAACAGCAGGTTCAGTTATTGCAAGCACAACAACAGCAAATGCAACACAAAATTGCTGCCTGCATTGGCTGTGAATCTTTATTAAATGGATCAGCAGTATCCAAAAATACTGACCCTCAGCAGAAGGGTTCCAAGGACTCACAGTCACCGCAGGAAGCAATGACATTGTTAAAACTGAAACAGATTCAGAACGTAGCGTCACTCTGGCGTATAATAGCTCTTTGCCTACTCTACAAGATATGCTGTTGCCCGACAATGAAATCGACAACCAGTCTGTCGATAATAAAGAATTTGATGCCGGAAACTTGGAAGAACTTGCTGAAAGCCTGCTCGCAGATATCACCGCAGACCTGGAAGCAGACGATCGCACGAGCAGCGAGTCTATTACCCAAAATTCAAGCGGAACAGAGCGATTGCTTGGATCAGTGGTGGGGACCACAACAGAATGCTTGGAATCCAGCCAACATAAAAACGACAACAGCGGCGGCATAAATATCGCAGACATAAAAGATTACCCTCAGCAATCATCGGACATCACACTAGAAAATGAAGGTTTAACATGTTTAAGAAATGACGTGACTGCTACAACTAGCACCGCTGATACCGTATATGGAACATACGATGCTAAAACAAATTCGATAACAATAGAAATGGATGATGTAGCTGTGCCCGTTGACGAGGCAGTAGAGGAAATCTACTCTGATGATATGTCAGATAACGTATCATCAAATGAACTGTTATGCCCGTCCGTTCCAACTTCCCCTTCCCACATTTATCTAAATGTCACCTCTCCTACTGACGATGAAATGGCTGGTGATGATGTTAATTTGAATTTTGATCCCATAACGAGATTTGTGTACCCTACGCGTTCGGTGGTCTCGCCTTTAGCAAAATCTCCAATGCATTCATTCGATTCGACTTTTTCAGATCATGGCTATGAATCGATAATGGGATCACCGCAGCCCTTATCACATTTAGGCTTACCCAGTTCTCAGTTTGAGCCAGCAATCGTTGACGATATTGATTGGCCATCGAGCTTTAATGACCTCTTTCCCAACTTAATTTAATTATATCGATAATTTAATTTTAGCATCGTTTAATTTTAGTTGTACATAATAAGCTACGAGTATGTACGGTGTGTGTTTGCAAGAATAAGTATTGAAAAATATGCGTCCAAGGAGCGCATTTAAAATAATTATAATTCAACGATAAGCTGTTTTTGTAATATATTCCGTCATTAAGTTTAACATGTTAACCCTTTTATTTCTAAGATTAAATAATAAGTTATTAAGGAGATGTACGTTTAATCAATAAATTGAGTTCTTTTTCTTTTTGGTTTTCAACTAATGGTTATTCTTAATTTTGTGAATTTACATTGAATTTTTGAATTGATAATTTAACAAATTGCTTGCCTTTTCAACTTAAAGGGAGCTACTGGTGCTACTGGTTGTGATGGAGCCATATGAAATTCCAGATCCTAGTGTTTACAAAATTGACAAATAGGTTAAGGAAGCTTTTGCTCGACAGGGGCTATAAGATTCTTGTTGCGGTAAACATTTATTAGGACAATGAATGAATAAAATTGTAATTCGTTATATTTCTAGTAACGAGGTTCGCCGTTACTAGATACTGCACAGGACGTGAGTCACGTGTAAGACAACCGAATTTGAATTAAAAATGAATTACTAATTAGTTGATTTGAACCTATAGCAAGGTTTAATATGTCATTAATTTTCTCATTAAATTTATTGTATTATTTAATTATACCATTCGCTTCTGGTTAGTAGCTTGTTAGTTGCGTAAATAAGATTTCTGTTATTAATAAAAGTTCTCGTTGTCTTTGGAACACTTTTTACAGTTTTGGTAAACTAGTCAATTCATATAATTCTTTTCTAATTTTTCCTGGTGGTAAAATAAGTACTTTTTAAGAGTTGGATATAAGACATGCTCGGTTTGCTATTTATGGCGTTTCCGATCATCTTTTATATCAGCGTCTAATACTGTAGGATAGTAATGGCCTGTCTCGCGGCGAAAACTTTCAAAGCATTTCTCTTCCTCTTCCCATTCCACATCGGTAGCCAAACGCAGCATATATAAAGGCAAGTAGACTTTACTAGGTCAATAATAGGTAGTAAAGGTAATGTCAACAAATCATTTTTCGGAGAAATATTTAAAGAAAAGTATTCACGCATTATAGGAGAGTAGACTAATAAAATTTCAACAGCGCGTTGCGCTAATTCTTCCTTATCACCATCCTCTTCACACCAACCGCTTTCCGTTGAATTTAAGGCCAATAAAATTAAAGATTTAATTGATAATCTATCTCTCTGAAGCTATTTCGGGAGCACAAAAGTTTTCAAAATTATACACTAAACGCTGATAAAAAAGCTTCTCGCTGAACGAATAACAAAAGCAAATTGATGTTGATTTAATATTAATAAAATTCTCGAACTTGCCTTAAAATTAGCGTATTACAGAGGGAAAATTTAGTTTCATATTGAAATAGAGCAAAGCTTTTTCCTATTGAGCCCACAAAAAAACCGTTTCTTTTAAAATCTTTCTTAGCTGCACCGAACATTTATTCTCCCTTTGTTGCATCATTTTTAAAACACTTGCCAATTTGACCTCCTTAGCTTTTTGTTTGGCAGTAACACGAAAACTTTGCTCGGTTATAGGCAATAGACCATCGGGATAAGTCGATGGTGAATCATCAGTTTTCTTATAGCTTTCGCTGAATAAAAATTTTGTCCAACTTTTATTCCTTACTATCGATGCGTATCATATCTTTCGCCGAAACCTTATCTTGTGCTGCTGCAGACTTGCTAATGCTCTTCCAATACCAGGCAATTTTAATTGTTTATAGAAAGCTCGTGTGGCATTGTTGCCCAATGATTGCACTTCTATTTGGCTTTTGATTTTTTCCACGATTTCATTCTCATACAGAAAATGAACTTCATGTTTGTTAGGATGTACGTTAACATCTTAATTACTTGGTTCCATATCTAAACTTAGATCTGTGTGAGATAAATGAAATAATGTGTATGCTTAAGGAACGTGTTCTTAACGCGGGACAATGGACGTAGGACGTGCGGTGTTATTAAACTCTTTATCGCGTCATCGTTTAGATGCAGGTACATTGATAAGAAAGACGCTCTAGAACATAACACTGTGCTCAACGATTTGTCAATGTATAAAACAATTTAATTAATCGAAAATTTTGAATAAATATTGCAACTCCAATACATCCGGCAAAGCATTTAGCATTTAAGATTTTACTAAAACCATATTTAGCTACGCCAGCTGTAGTCGAGTGCACTCCAAAGCAGCTTCCAACTGTTCCTTTAACTTCCAATGTGCTTCATTTTTAGCATAATTATCATAATTCATGCAAGTGAGAAAATTAACTGTTTGTAGAATCTGTTCGTGTGGATATTTGTATAGCTTACTTTGATCATAATTCATGCAATTGTGGTTAATATGTGTTTGTAGAACCCATTAATGGAAAATATCAGCTAACGTCTTTTTGTGAAATTAAAACCAATTCGCAAGCTCTCCAACAAACATTGAAATCAATTGAAAAATTACAAAAAGATTAAATTAAACTTACCAAAAATTATTAAATAAAATTCTAATTCTAATATATATATCTATATAATAAAGTGATTAAAAAATTATATAAAATTCTACTTCTAATATGTATATGTTTAAATAAAGTGATTAAAAAATTATATAAAATTCTAGTTCTAATATATATATCTATTTAAGAAAGTGATTTAAAATTTATATAAAATTCTAGTTTTAATATGTATCTACTTAATAAAATGTTTAAAACATTATATAAAATTCTAGTTCTAATATATATATCTATTAAATAAAGTGATTAAAAAATTATATAAAATTGTACATCTAATATATTATTATTAAACAAAGTGATTAAAAAATTATATAAAATTCTAGTTCTAATATATATATCTATTAAATAAAGTGATTAAAAAATTATATAAAATTATACATCTATTATATTATTATTAAACAAAGTGATTAAAACATTATAAAAAATTCTAGTTCTAATATATATATCTATTTAATAAAGTGATTAAAACATTATAAAAAATTCTAGTTCTAATATATATATCTATTTAAGAAAGTGATTTAAAATTTATATAAAATTCTAGTTCTAATATGTATCTATTTAATAAAATGTTTAAAACATTATATAAAAGTCTAGTTCTAATATATATATCCATTAAATAAAGTGGTTAAAAACTTGTAAAGTACATTTAAACAAAAAATTTTACAAAGAAAAATAGTGAATTGACTTGTGAGTGAATTTCTAATAAGAATTTAGAATTTTTATCAAGGAGACCCATCTGAGATGGACATAGTTTTGCTGGGAATCTCGTTGGTGTCTTCTTACAAAATAGCCTTCTTATAACAGAAGCAATGCATTCATATAACGATGCTTTTTACTTTAGAACACATTTTCGCTACAAATAATTCATTTTCAACCAGAATATGATTCTGAAAATTACAAACTAAAAAAAAATTCACGAAAGTAGGAATTGCAACAATAAATAAAAATAACAGAGTAATAACAATATAAAATAAAAATAAATGAATAAGTGACACGTATCTTTGGAATCTTCAATCCCATTTTTTTACGTCTAGTTAAGTTAAAAAGAGAGAAAATGCATTTTTTTTTTTTTCAGTTTTCATTTTTCATATTTGCGGCATACAACAACAAGTATGTATTAAATTTATAATATAATACATAATCATTAATAAGAACAGAACAGAAACTTTAATTAAACTTTAACGCGGTTTAGTAATTCCAATACATGATGAATACAGATATTTCTTAATATATTAAATAAATTTTTTTTTGTTTTTTTTTCAGTACAATCTCCGAGTTTTTTTTTTTGGTTTTCTCAGGATCATCACCGGGTTTTTTTTTTGCTTTAGGAACATCTCCTTGTTTTTTTTTTTTTTTTTTTTTTGAAAAAATTATGGATTTTTTTTTCCGAGAACATCGGAAAAAATATTATTAAATATTATTAAATAAATTCATGATGATGTACTTTATTGGACTCCGCAAAATCATTTTGTTCCCAAGATTTTTTATCTTCCACAAGTGGGTCGGTCTATTTGTTTTGCATTTAGATGTGACCATTGGGCTCCTGATTTTGTGAATTTTTTTTTTATGGAAAAGGCAGAAGTTAATTTCATTATGATATCAAGGGTCAACCATTACCAAATCTCATATATATACCCATCAATCGTGGCTCCCGAGATATTCACTAAAACTAATAAGGACGATCATGGGCGAGCATTTGGTTGGTAACCGGCGACTATTTTGTCCTTAACTTCATTGTATCACTAAGATAAATTATAAACATTATTTTATTGTAATTTAAATAAATAAATCTTTATTATTCTCTTACATTATTACTTATCTCTAATTGTCCTTTCTATTATTCTTTTTTTTTTTTTATTTCACTTTATATCTTTTCTTGTCGTGTCTGGGAATAAAATTTAAAAAGAATCGTTATTAAATTGCTATTTTGTACATTTGGGTAAAATGAAGCCACGAAGCCATAAATGAAGGTAAAATCGAATTAGTCTGAAACGTATTTCATTGCATTTGCTTAGGATGTACACACACTTGCTTTAGGAATATGATAATAATTTTCAATAAAAATTGAACTTTGTGGTTTGTTATGTTCGACAAATAAATTATGTTTCTTAAATTAGACCACCTGGACGTTTGAGTATACCTCAATATTTGGGCTTTCTTGGAAATTAAGCATTTACATAAAAATAATGATTTTGAATTTTTCATGTATGTATTATTGATTAAATGAGATCTAAACGTGCATCTTGCCCCACTATAGCATTCTTACTTGTTCTATTTTGACTATCTTAAATCATAGCTCTGAAGTGTCCCTTTTAAAGCAGAACAGTTCGGTAGAGGTTGATGAAAGCTCTACAAAAGAGTTTACAATTTAAAAAAAATAAAAAAATAAAATTAAACAAGAAACAAAAACAAATAAATAAAAGACGCAGCTTATATCATTTAGTTTTTAGTTATTATTATAAGAAGCCGAAAGCCTTAGATGCTAATGCTTTAAGACCTTAGTCTTACATTTTATTCTCTGGCTAAATTTATAATAATATTAATAATAATAATAATAATAATAATACTTATTATTAAATTTTATTTATAATTTGAAATTGAAAATGTAAAAACTGTAAAATTTTTTTCATTAATAAATTGAAATATAAAAAAAGAAAAGGTCGTTGTTTCATTTATATTTAATTTGACAATGATTTATTCATTGTTTTTTTTATTTTTAATTGGTTTATTTTGTCTTCCAAATATTTTCAGGTTCTACAATCATAATTATTTTCCTTATTTTATTACATTATACGTATTTATTATTATTTATTATTGTAACTTATATATTTTATATACATGGCAAACCTACCCAACGTACTTTTTAGTCAATTGTTGTGGGAACACCGGGAAGTTGTGGGGTGTTAAAGGGTGTAGAGCTTGCAAGTTAGAACGCAAAGGATGACGGAGCAGGCAGTTATACAAAAAATTAGAGCAATTAACATGAAAGAGTTAAATAGTGGTAGCAGTACGAGACTCTCAACTTTAGGATATTCCTTATGGTTCGCTAGGTAGTTAGGGTTGACGAGGGCGGTGGAGAGATTGACGGGATCAATTGAACCGGGAAACCGGACCTAGAATAATGTTCGAGGATGAATTTGTAAGGTTTGACAATACGGACAAAATATAAGAAGATCGTCAGGTAAACTCTAGAAAGATTAGTAAAAATACGGAAGAAGGATAAAGTAGAGAACATAATACGGAACAGGCCATCGAGCCCATCGAGTAAGTATAGTAGAAGAGGCGGCAAGTGCCCGAGAAATCGAAGACCTGAGAGAGCAAGTGTCGGCATTGAGGACAACGACGAAGACAATAAAACACATGGTGTATTCTTCTGCATAACGCGTGGTAAAGATACGCTGTGGCTAAACATGTACGAAGCGAAGATGGTAAGTTGTATTTAGTTTAAAAGCACAATCCCAAGAGCTGAGAGCGGAACTGGCGGCAGTGTAGTTAAATAAAGACCGTGAAATAGAAGAGCTGCGAGCGGAACTAGCGGCAGTGAAGATAAATAAAAACCGCGAAATCCAAAAGCTGAGAGTGGAACTGGCGGCAGTGAAGATACCAATGCCAAGAAGAAGAAGTTCAAGTAGCTGAAAGCGATGTGAAAGAGGCCCTTAAAGAAGTCGTAAGCAAACTAAATGCCTTTTAATATATTAAACGATATTCTTAAGAAAAATTAATATGCCGCCGTGACATCCACCATAATTAGTTTTGAATTAACACAATTAACTTTTCGGATTCTACTGTCCAAACTCTTTTATATATCAACGGTATGGCAACAAAGAAAGTAAACCTAACTAAATTAGAGTTCTCGCACTGACCTTGTTGCCTACTAACCTCCGTGTCCTCTTATTTGATACTCATATCGCATTTTAAGGAAACACTAATCCACCAAGTCGTGTCCACCATAATTATTTTAGAATTAACGCATTTTTAAGCAGATATTAAATACATCATCATTTGAGGAATGTTCAAGTAAAGACTCTGCCTTGTTTACCTTATGATTAATAAGCATAAAACTTTAAAAAAAAGTGAAGTAACGAAAACTTAATTAGCTGTAACTTTGTGTGCGTATGGCTGATTATTTCCATTTTCGTAAATATGAAAAATATAAGCGTTCGATGTTTAATAATTTGCAGTTACCCAACGAAAAATTCGAAGTACCAGAACCATTGAAACAGGCGTTTATTACTGAGGGTTACCAAAAGGACATGTTGGAGAATATGTTCCCCAGCCTTACAGAAGAATTAAATATAAACAACTACACAATTCGCTTTGGAACACTCTTACATTTAGAAGAGATGGAGTGGCTTGGCAATATACGCAAATATAACCGTGAACGAGGCCATTTCACACGTAAGGGCAGATATTATTTACCTCTCACCATAGAAAATGAAAAGCTTTCCGAATGTCGTCCTTCGTTGGTAATTGGAGACATTATCAAAGCGAAAGACCCCTGGACCGATAGTGAAAATGCCGAACACACATATGAAGGAGTGATTCACAAGGGGCTTTTCAATCGCATTCTGCTTAAATTCGATGCAAACTTTCAGCAAAAATATAATGGCGAAGGTTATCATTTAGAATTTTACTTCTCCCGGTATGGCTACCGGGAACAACACCACGCCGTCTTACGAGCGATTAAGAATTTAGGCGAACAATTCTTGTTTCCATCCGGAGCACGGACGCGTCGATGCCCACAATTGAATATACACTTTGATGAACATCGTGACCAGACGATAGAAAAGGATTCTAGAGAAGCGGAAATTCTGACCCAACTTGACGACTTACTGCCGCAATCACGGACTCAAGCCAAAACACATGGCATATTCTTCCGCGGAATGCGTTCTGAAGATATGCAGGAAGAAGACTCGCCATCATGGTGTAATTTTTATGAAGCGAAGCAAGTAAGTTCTCTTTAGTTTAAAAGCACAACCCCTTCAATTTAGTATTTTATCACATTTATTTAATTTTTAAAGGTCTTTCTAATGATAGTTAAGCTGTATCGAAAAAACATCAAACCGGAATCCATCGGCATCATAACACCGTACGAAAAACAAGTTAAACGTCTGCGTAAACTTTTCGATGATGCCGACGTAGCGATGCCTAAAATTGGTATTGTGGAGGATTTCCAAGGACAGGTATAAATTTCGTAAATTTACACAAATTTACACTCATGTTTGAATTAATTGTTGCTTGGTTTTTTTTAGGAACGCGAAATAATATTGATCTCAACAGTGAGATCAAGCAAGGAGGAGCTTATACCTAGCGATGTGCGACATGGATTAGGTTTCAACAAAAACAAGGCACTAACTAACCTTGCAATTTCTCGATCTCGTTATCTTTTATATATGTACGGTAACCCCGACGGACTCCTTTTGGTACCTGATTATCAAGCACTGCGTTGACAACGATGCCTACTTTGGCCGAGATTTGATGGAATTGTCTGTAACTTTTATGTAATATGTATATATATAGTTTAATAGTTTAGTTTCTTGACTTGAATTACTTTCAATTATTGAATTAATTTTCAAATTTGAATATGTATTTAGTTTAGTTTCAATTTTTTTTGTTTCGTTTTTCGCCTTAATTTTATTTTTTGTTTTCTGTTGTGTATTAATTTATGTAATTTATGTTTAAATATAAACGAAATAAATAGCTTCGACGAAGTTAACACAGACAAACACCTAATTTATAACAGAGATAAAGATGAGATGATCGGCTGTGGTATCTCATCAAAAGGCAAGAAGGTGGAGCACATCTCATATCTAATCTTCTCCGCGAGAAGCTTATTGACACATCTCAACATAATGCTAAGCGCAAAACCGTGCACCGACCATACAGATGATACCACGGATATAACAGATGCAATAAAGCTGGCAGAGGAGAACGGACTAGATATCCGAACTGTTGTCTGCGACAGAGCCGAAGCCAATAAGGACAGATTGAAAAAGTTCTTGAACGGCGTCTACAAATTAAAAAAGGGCAGGCGGCAACAGAAAATCAATTATGCTCCTGTATGATTATGCACATTTGTCTTCGGCCAATGGAGACAGGCTTGGATTATCAATTCGGCGTGAAACAGCCGAAACATCAAAAGTTACTCTTCTCCCTTTTTTTTTTTGCTTGAGCAGCTGGAAGTTCTCGAAGGGATGGGGAGATCTCTTCTGTTCCAGATGACACTATTTTGATCTCCATTTGTCTTGCTAAAGTGAACTTTTCACTTAAGGTTACGGGGTATCGCTGTATTGGTCTGATCGCCACACCGTTGATATAAATTCCGCCAACAGTTTCTTCTCGAAATTTGCGACTGTATGCTAAAGTTGTAATTCTTGTCGTCATGCAATTTTCTTTTTATCGCCCCGAGCAAATGTGGATAATCATACAGGAGCATAATTGATTTTCTGTTGCCGCCTGCCGAATTTTGGAAGAGGAGAAATGTAGTGCAAACAGTTGCATCTCCACGATATCCCGCTGATAAGTTAAAATTCTACAGTGACATTACGCCAGTGTCACTGCAAGCGGCAATCGACATAGACACATTCGCTCCAGGAGAAGAAACTGTTGAAACTGTGATTGCCGAGCGGACATTAAAGTTATTTGAAATGTTATTTAACCACAATAGCAAACTCATTTCATCGCAAAACAATAAATAACAACAATTGGGGTAACATCAAAGAAAATCCGCAAAAGAATACCTAATTGCGGCCAGTAATTTGAACCAATTAGTCGTGGACACGGTGCTTACAATAAATAATTATATAAGGATAATGGAAGATCTGATGGAGGCTTACCCTGGCATCCAGATAAAATCATACAGGGTAAGCCAGGATCTCCTGGATCCTGTTTTTATTAAGATGCCGGTGAATCAAAGAAAACGAACGAGACCATCACAGCAAATTTTGAAATTGTACAACAGGTTAAGGCGTCAACAAATATCGGTACACGCGAATGGATTCGCACTTCAATACGACTACGAGCTGATCGATAATCTAAACTATAACATAGGAGAAGAGCTCGAAGAAAAGTTTCGACCATTCGGCCTCGATGGAGGACTATTCACTGACCGGACAACAGATCAGCTGGAAGAAAAAAATATGATAGCTCCTGCGTCTGGTCACGGTATCGGGCGATACGTACGTGACCAGATGCCTTGTGGGTTAAACAACGGGTTAAAATGAGCTGAAAGACCTGATCCATTATAAGCAAGAAGACATGATAATGTCCCATCACATATTGCCAAGCCAATTAATGTGACACTTTGTTCGCCTGGTTGGCAGATTCTTTTAATTACTCCGTACTCTCCCAATATACATTAGCATATATTTGAAAATTTTCCGCGGTTTTTCCCATGGGAAGGTGTTGACGTCTATTTATCGATAGCATTCACCAGATCGTCTCAAAGGGAGAGAGTTGTGACATTTCAGCTTATACTATTTAAATGCCGCAAAAAAGAAAGAAAAATTTGTGAAGTATACGGCGAGAATGCTGTAACCATTTCTGTGAATATATATGGAAAGAGAATATTCTTTTTTTTTTTGAAAATAGGATAAAATCGAATGCCACGCCTATAAAAAAATACATTTCCTATCTTCATTGTGAAATCCAATAAGAAGTATTTAAAAATTGTCTACAAATTTAATTTGCAAAGTGAA